TTTCATTGGGGCTCTACTCTCGTCCAATTGAGCTCCTCTGGACACGTCTCTGCTTCATTTTTATTGGGGGCCTGTTGCACTCCTATCGGAGCCCTCTGGATCTAGTCCTGTTGTCTCCCTATTCGGATCAGGTTGAATTCAAAGTGCGATTCTGTGCAACTGGGGTGTACTCCACTCTGAATGGTGTCCTACAGGATCCCCAAAAAGGTGGACTAATTGGGCGTCTCTCCTTTCTGCAAAGCGGAAGCGAGACGATTGCGAAGCAATGTAAAGCGTGTTTTACAGATGCCCCAGTGCGAAGCAAGCGTGGAACCACTACGCTGCCGAACTGGTCGGCCGCCTGCGAATGCGTTTCGCAGAGTGCGGGAGGTCCGGAAGGTGCACGGTCTCATTGGCTCGGGCAGCGTGGCATGCAAGGCGAACATTTTATTGGCACCTTTTTCACCAGGTGCACGCAGCATTTTTTTACGACCTTTGCGTTCGTTTTTGATTTGCGTCAAACCCTGCGTCAAATATGAGGACGTGAACGAAGCGAAGAGCTCTCACATCGTCGAAAGGCTGGCCACGCAATCGCGTGTCGACGAGTCTGGAATTTCACGTTCTTATGGAACACCTTCAGCTGCATACGAAAATGCTCGTTGCGGGTTGTGCCAGATATGACATCGTCGGGGGGATGGTTCGCAACGCATTTGCACACCATCCGAATGGAACCTATACCATGGCGACTCGTCGCGTGCAGGAGGCTGCTCATCACGATCGCCTCGCCGTAGCCCGTCTTCCTCGTAAACATGTCTGCGTGGGTCAAGCAAATGGCGGCGATGTTATCCTCGAACCCCTCCATGGTCGAATAAGACACGTTGACGCAGGATCTGTTGAGATCATGCCATAAAGGTGGTGGCGCTTAGACACCGTCATGGCTGCCATTCTCGACTGAGGCTTGGAAGACGAGGACTCTCCTTGGGTCGCTCTGCGATATGTCGTGTGTCCGGAACCACGCATGCGTAGATTGGATGAGCAGCGCCTCGCAGCGCGAAAACGCTGTTCATCTTCCATTGGACGCGTTCTTGGCTTCCATGCGAAGTGCATCAAATCATCGCACACGTTTCGTTTCTCTCATGTTTGGAACACATCGCGCAGCTTGCAAGAGCTGTCCAGCACGGCGGGCGCATCAGACACACCACCTCCACGATATTCCCTTGGCTATTGGGCTCCGCGTTCCAGAGGACGCCCACAATATCAATTGCCGGTTCGGAAGTCTCCTCTCGATGTCAAGGGCGTTGCTTTTGCATTGAACCGTCCGCAGATCTCGGAGGGGAGGATAGCCGCCGTCCGCCGCGGCTTGCTGTTTACTGCGGAGCGCGACTTGATAAAGCACTCCCATGAGGGACCTGTGGAATCCATGTACCCCGAGCACCTGGACATCGCAGCCGTCGTGGCATCGCAACATCTTGCTTCGAATGTTGGTGTGCGCGAGTATCTTCTTGCACAGCGCGCGGTGAAGGTCTGTCCCCGCTGGCGTAAATCGAGCTCTCTTGCCGAATCTGGCCAGGAGAGACGACGCCCGTCGATACGTGGCCCATGTGATGTCGCGAGGAAACGAGATGGTCACGTCAGCGAGGGTCGCACGGCGCACAAGGTCAGCGCGCGCTTGCGTCAGAGGTAGCAGACCCCCATTGTACTGTTCTTGCACGGACAGTCTGTTGAAATTGTTCTCCCATATAATTGTATTAAACTGGCCGCCGCTTCACGTTCCAGTCGCGGGCGATGTTTCTTCCCCAATCCCCGAGTTTCGCCCGAAAAGTCTGGCCGCTCAGAAGAATGGGAAAACCCTGGGATACACCCCAAGGGGGCTATTCGGACGCACCCCTATCGAGAATGGACACCCCCCCATCGTATATCCCAGGGTTAGGCCCCAAATTTCTGGTCCATTCGGAAACCCCACGAAGCCTGGGATAGGGGTCGACATATCCCCTGTTATCCAGCTTCGTGGATATGATTCGCTTCCCCTTGGCTCCTCCGAGGGCGCACCACCGAGGCTGTCGCCGTCGTCGCCCTCGCGGTCGCTGCCGGCGGCAACCCCGCCAGCGAAGGCAGCGCCGAGGCATTCGGCGCGTACCAGCCCAGAGGCCTGGGCGAGGGATGCACATCGCGATCCGTCCGCGGAGCCGTTCTCATGCGAGGCAGGCGACGTAGGTTTGTGGAAGGCGATCAATGGAGGGGAAGCATGCTGCCAAATACTCTGCAGATGTCTAAAAAAATTGTGTCAACAATGTTTCAAATATGTAAAAAACAACTTGAAACACGTTTGAAACATGTTTTGTTCAGTTTAAACACACCCGTAATTCAAAGATCGGTTCTGTAAGAATAGAATGTCCATTGTCGTGGCATCCACAAACGTAGGTGTCCCTGGCGCAAGAGAAAAGATTGCCTGACATTCCTTCTCGCCCTCGACCTCGCGACCGAGGGCGCTGCCGAGGCGCGCGTGAACACAGCGGACGCACGTGCGCCCGTTGAAGCGAATGACGCATCTGCAGGCTGCATGAAAACAAACGGCCCATGCATAAGGGCATCCTGGGACATCCATGCGACATTGCTCTTGTGGGCGCCAGATAGCCACCAAACTTCTATGACAGCACAAGGTTTTGGCGCTTCGACGTCACGAAACAATGTGTTCTCGCAGGTTTCGCGGGCACCATCGTGCTTGCCCTTCAGACTGCCGATACAGTCATACCGAATAGTAAGGATGGCCAACCGTCCCAAGGGTACCCTTGTATCCTTGCCTCCTCGGCCCATCCTTGGCCACTTCCGTTGGCCGCGCACCGCTCGAAAAGCTTCGATGTGGCTTTCAAAGGCCCCTGCATCCTTATCGCGCATCCTTACTATGCTGCGTGACTGTATGTTATCCGCATGGATGTCAGTTTGTACTACACTCGTTCCTTATTGCTTATGTGTTGTTCCTGTTGTTGGTGCGTGCCTGCGTCTGGCTCCGCGATGGCCGGCGTAGCGCCAGGGCGACAGTTTGCAAACTTGGAAGACATTACAATATTTGTGCCAGCGGGAATACACAAGCTCGTGACCTCTTCAGGCATCCATGCAAAACGAAAGCAACAATATTTTAGGAGCCATGCGTGTTGTCGACACCAGATAGCCACCAAATCTGTGAACATGGTTGCAACGCCTCGACGTCACGAACCAATGAGTTTTTGTAAGTTTCGTTGGCACCACCTGCCCCAAACTTTGTTGCCGTTTGCTGAGTCACATGCATGTATTGGGCCTTCCTCTCTTATTTGTTTTTGCATTGTTGTTGCATGCTCCCTTGCCTGTTTGCCTGTGCACGGCCAGGGCGCGAACAGTGGACACTTGTAAGATTATAAGAATCCGCCAACAAGAGCTGAGGACATCCCGAGAAATTCATGCGACAAAGCTGCAATACCGTAGGACAAATGTGTTGGACACCAGTTGGCCACCAGACCTGTGAACACACACGGCTTTGGCGCATCGCCGTCACGGAACATTTGGTTGTCACAGGTTTCGTGGGCACCAGTTGTTCAAAATAGTGTTGTTTCCCAAGGTTTCTTGCTTTAGGATTCTCGCCCAATTTTATGTGAGCATGCTTGGAGTTGCGTTTATTAATTATCTGAGTACGCTTTGCATTTTTGTTGTTGCAATGTTGTCTGCCTGCTTCTGGCGGCGCGAGGGCCAGCGTATGGCCACGGCGCGAGTTTGCGGTAACGCAAAACAGAAAAAAACATGTTGCCACAACGAACAAGTAAAAGCTCCAGGACATCCTAAATAATCCATGCGAAATTGCTGCAAAGCCTGCAGACAATCATAGTGAGCACACAAGGTGAGCATTGTGATAAGACAATGTGTCTGCGCCTCGGCGTCGCGAAACACAGTGTTTTCATAGGTGTTGTGGGCAATAGGTCTCCAACATCGTGCTCCCCAACGGTTTTGCAATTTTGTTCGCATTGACTTCGTGAGGTGCCCGTAGTAGTCATGTGTTTTTGAATGGTTAGTTCGTTACAATTGTTGCCTGCCCGCCTCTTGCGATGCGCTGGTCCTGGAGCCCTGGAGAGAGAAAGAGAGAGAGAGAGAGAAAGAGACAGACAGAGAGAAGACAGAGATAATGACAGAGAAAGGGAGAGAGAGAGAGGCAGAGAGAGAAACAGTAGAGATAGAAAGAGCACGAGCCAATCAATCAAGTTACTTCCAACAGGTCAACACCCCACGAAAACGGCCGCCAAATAGTTTTTGATGTACCCTTTACGGGTTAGGGTGAGGGAGGAAGGCGCTGCCAAAAGGTTGGAGCGGCCGTTATTTGTTGTTGTCATTTGCGGCTTCTGGGGGGCTCACGGCTTCTGGGAGCCCCCGGACCGTCAAGGCATTGAGAAAATTGGAGTGCCGCCCGTCTGGGGGGGAGACAGCTTCGGCCCTCCTTGACCTTTTTCTTCTTTTGAGCCCTCTGCGAATCTCGTCGCCAGAGCTGGACCCCCGTCGAACATTTACGAGTCAGGAGGGACCCGTGGGGGGTCGGGGACCGATCTCGAGCAGACTTGAGCAGTTCAGTCGGGGTCGGATGGGTTGTTTCGTCAGCGAACACCGTTCCCGAGGCCCACAGGGCCTCAGCTGGCAGAGGCTCGAGCGGATTTGGGCTGGTCAGGGGTGGACAGAACCCCCACCCTGACACGTCGATTGGTGAGTTGTCCGTTTTCGGTTCTCGAGAGGGTGCCGCGGCCGTCATTTTCCAGGCTTGCGCCCGCCAGGTTTGGGCCCGAGGTCGTTTTCACCAAGCCACGTTTTGCTAAAGATGGTTCTGTCCATCTCCGAGCTGGGCGTGCGAGCCGCCTTTGCATGGCGTCACCCCAGAATACTTATACTATATGTGCGTCGCCCCCCAAGGGGCGACGCGCGCACCGAGAAATCCTATAGTGTACAGGTCGCGGCGGGCGCTTTCTGGCCACACCGCTCGGGAAAGGATATATATATATATATATATACTACAAGATGGGCATGCTACATGTCCGGGCCAGACGCGCACCCTCCAAGGAGAACACTTCGTACTCGCATGCCTTTGTGCGAGCTGCCTTTGCCTCAGCTGGCCCCCCCCCGCTCCTCGTCGCGGCCGTCACCCTGAGGGCTCCCGCTGCGGTGGGCGGCGCGGCCGCAGAGCCCGCCGCGCCCGGAGCAGTGGCGCTCCCCGCCTGGGCCGCGGAGGCGCCGCGGCCGTCGCCTGCGCCGGCGCTCCCCGCCGCGGGGGGCGTCGGCGCAGGCCTCGTCGACGAGGGCCGGTGTCCAGAGGTGCTCCGAGGGGCCGATTTGCCACCAGCGCCGCCAGATCTGGGACGGGGGGAGTGGAGGAGGGGGAGGTCCTCCTCCTCCTCTTCCTCCTCGTCCTTCTCCTCCTCCTCCTCCTCCTCCTTCTCCTCCTCCCTCTCGTCGATGTCTTTGGCTGAGGGGCGGGTGCCCTGTCGGCGGGCCCTGGCGGGGCTAGTCCCCCCCCCCCCCGCGAGCAAAAAGTTCTCCTTCGATGGGCGCCCCCCCGGTTTTCCCTTTCTCTCTCCCCTGACTTCCCTTTACGTGCGTTGAACCTCCTCCCTCTCGTGGTGGGCATCGTCCCCTCATGCTCGGCTGCGCGCAGAGGTCGGGATGTGCCAGAGGTGCCCCTGTGCCCAGGGTGCCCCCCAGCTTTTCGCTCCATGTTGGCCCTCCTGGGGCCCCTGGCCTCGTGAGGGGTGCTCTGGAGGCCGTGGGGTCCTCCTGAGAAAACATGGGGGCACCAAGGAGGAGGAGGAGAAGGACGAGGAGGAGGAGGACCTCCCCCAGGGGGGCAAGGGGGGGGGAGGACCTCCCCCAGGAGGCCTTGGGCCAGGGGCACTTCTACCAACACCCGCAGAGGGGGGCAAGGGGGGGGGAAGGCTTCTTAGAAACACCCCTGCGTCTCAGAAGGCGCGGGCCTTGTCTATCGGTGCAGGGCGCCGGCGCCTGTGAAGAAGCACTATTCTCTAACAAGCCTTCCCCCCTCCCCCTCCCCCTACCCCTTTGTGCCCGCCGGCAAGGTGCGCGTGCTGGTGTTCTGTTCGCCGGTGGAGCCTCAGGTCGGCGGCGACATCCGATCCCTGCCCTCGCCGATCAAAGGTATAGACAACTCGATGGGCGGCGATGGTGGGGTTCAGAATTCGTCGAGCACGTGGCGAAATCCGAACCCTATATCCCCGCCTCCTGCGTTCCAGCGTTTCAGGCGAATCGACCGTTGGGGGGGGTAGGGCTCGGAGTTCGCCACCTAAGGACAACGCGGCGAGGGTTGCGGCCATTCGCTCGACGTGGGGCGCTGATGGGGTGGTGCGCGCCCCGAGTGGGGCGTGCCTTCGGCTGAGCCTCTCGGTGAGCGACGTCCCGCAGCCCGCGATCGAGGACACCGGAGAGTGGCTCAAGGCCTTCACAGCGGAGGCGGTCCAGAGCCCTGGCCTCTCCTGGCTGATGAAGGTGGAGGACGTTTCCTGGGTGCTGCCTGGTCGCCTCGCAGAGCTGCTGTCGAGATACAGCCCGTCGCAGCCGCTGCTTCTGGGCAACCAGCTGCGGACGAAGTGGGGCCCGCACCACAGGTACATGTCCGGAGCGGGCTTTCTCATGAGTGCCGAGACCTTGAAGAGGCCTGGAACCAAAAGCTCGCAACTGTTAACTCTGGGTTCAATGAGTCGCTGTTGGTGTCTTTCCTCAAGGCTGAGGAGTCAGCACTCGCTGCAGGAACGCTCATTTGTGAGTCTCTAACTTCGGTGTTTGCTCAGGATGGGCCAGTTCCGTCACTCTAGATCGATATAGGTTCGTTGTTTTCTTGCAGGGCCCGTGACCTGGGGTCGCTTTTGATTTGGGGTTGACAGGAAGCAACTACCCTCGAGAAGCTAAAACTTCGGTAGCGCCACTCGCATATCGCATTATCTAGTACAACATATCATGCCGCTTGCGACTCACAATTGATGTCTCCACGGGTCTGGCGTTCCTCAAATAAGCGTCCAGAGCTGGAGAGCTGCCCTTCTCCCAGGATCGGCCCCTCGGGGGCGCGAAGACAACCCGCTCCTCGCGGGGCGCGCTTCGCGGAGGTGGGCGACCTGGGAGAGCAAGGGAACAGTCAGAGCTCAGAGGAGGAAAGGGTACCCATACCTCTACCTTTCGCCCGTTTTCCCCTTTTTGGGCCTCAGGCCCTCGTCGCCACCGCTGGATTCGCCTCGAAATCCTGGTTAGAACGCACCCCGGGAGAAATGCACGGAGAAAGGGATTTGGAGGAGAGAGTTAAGGGGAGGGAGGGGGGATAGGAAGGGAAAGGGAGGGAGGGGCGCGGATCTCTTCACAACTTTGGTCTCAGCCGTCCTTGGTTGCAGTGGGCGTGCACTCGTGTAGGAGAGGCTTAGCCCCAGAGACAGCAGTTTTCCTGAATCCTTGACTCACGCCTCTTCCTGGAGACCCCGCGCAGGCTCCAGGATGCCTTCCTCCAGAAGGGCCTTGATCTGGTTCCAAAGGGGCTCATGAAGATCCCAGACGTCGGCGTCACGATGATCTGCGAGCAGCTCGGGGCCGCGGTGCCAGACACACGCGACGCGATGGGGGGCGAGCGTTTCAACGTGTTCCCACCGCACGTGTGCGCGAAGGGCGCGTACCACGACTGGTACCGTGAGTACAAGGCTCGAGACAAACAGCCGCACAAACGTAAATTTTCGGAGCTCCGCGCAGATTTCTTGGATAGGCGCTGGACCACCCCTCCCCGACGCGCGGAGCGCGCCAGGGTCGGCGCCGGAGGCGCCGCAAGGGGGGGGTCAAGCGCTGATCCAAGGCATTCGAAGAAATCTCCGAAAGAAACACCCTGCTTGCCTCCAGGGTGCCTTGGGCTTCTTGAGTTTAGCTCGTTTTGCCATGGACAGCATGAATCGATGGAAGTCCGGTGGTCTCATGGTTGAGTTTCTTGTGGAAGGTTTCTTGTGGTTAGGCTCTCACTGTACGTTTCTGCCCTCTTCTGCTCCTCGAAAGGCGCAGGCGGAGCAGGAGGCCCTGGGCGGCGAGGGGTGCTCCGCCACTGGGGAGAGGGGTCCCGTGGGAAACAGGTCATGCCTTTTTGTGTTCAGTCTTCCGGCTCTCGGGGCCCTCCGCGGGCCACGCGACTGTCAGAACAAGACTCGGGAAATTCACATCTCGTCCTGGGCGAAGGCGCCAGGGTCCAGGACCCCGTTTCCCCTCAGGGCCTGCTTTCCCCATGCAGAGGTGCTGCGCTGCGGCCCGGACCCTGGCGCCTTCCCCCGGGACGAGCTGCTCATCCCGAGTCGCTCCCTGACGGTCACGGGTCCCCTGGAGGGCCCCGAGAGCCCGGAAACAGAGGACAAAACCCAGGGCTCGTTTTCCTCAGGACCCGCTTCCCCCATGCATCCTTCTCCCCCTCCTCCTCCTACTCTTCCTCCTCGCTCCTCCTCCTCCTCCTCCTCCTCCTCCTCCTCCTCCTCCTCCTCTCCTCCTCCTCCGGTGCTGCGCTGCGGACAGCGTGCTCTTCCACTACGTCGGGGCCAGCGAGCAGGGCGAGCTCGGCCGCCCGCTGGGGCTGCCCGCCCTCCCTGTGCCCGCCTGGCCCTGGCCCCGCCCGGCACTGTTCGACCGCTGGGGCAGCCAGGGGGGACAGAACCCCCACGAGCGGAGATCCTTCTCCTCCTCCTCCTCCTCCTCCTCGCTCCTCCTCCTCCTCCTCCTCCTCCTCCTCTTCGCTCCTCATCCTCCTCGCTCCTCCTCCTCCTCGCTCCTCCTCCTCCGCCTCCTCAGAGTCCAGGCTGTTGAAGCCACGGTCTTTGCCTTTCATATCTACCACGCAAGCAAGTGCCAGATCCCAACCCTTTCCCACCACACTTATACTACAGCTTCGCGGTCTGCCGCCGCAGCCAGGCTCGCTATGCATGCCTAGCTGACTCGGGACTCGCTCTCAGAGTACGTTCGTTCCTCCTCCTCCTCCTCAGAGTCAGAGGCGACCATCGAGGAACATCCTGGATCATCTGGCGAGAAATACGCACGCGCAATCGAGACATGCACGGGGAGTGGACGTCCGAGCGATGGCGAGCCAGGGGCCAGATTCATATCCACGTCCACTGCGCCCCTGACCTCTGGGGAAGGGAGCCCGAAGCTCCAAGACGCAGAGGAGGAAAAAGGTACCCATAACGCTACACTTTCCTCGTTTTCGCCTCTTCGGGCCCTCTGGGAAGCCCTCGTCGCCACGGCTGGATTCGCTTCGTAATCCTGGTCCGACCGCACCCTGGGCGAGGTCTGGGGAGTAGCGCGGTATCGGTACCTCTTGGCTTCCCCAGTGCGGTCGGAAATTTTGGGATAGCGTCTCGCTCTGCCCGCTCTGGGCCACCATGCTCGAAGGATTGCAAAAAAACGAAGGATTGCGAAAAAACCTAGGATTTCAAAAAAACCCTAGGATTTCAAAAAACCCTAGGTTTTTTTGCAATCCTTCGTTCAAAAAAACCTATGGCTTTTTTTTGCAATCCTTCGAGTGACACGCTATCCACTTCCCAGTCCCCCAGCGTCAACGTCCCGAGCTTTTCCGGGCCTTCCGCCCGCGGAGCGGCGCGACGCGCTCTCCGCTCGCATGGCATAGCAGGTCTCCAGAGCCAACGTTGCAGCACGCCACGCGGAAGTTTCCGATTCCCGACCGGATGCATGTACACGCCCTCGCGGTCTGGACTGTGGGGCGCGATCCCGCAGATCTGTCGTCGTACGGAGGAGTTCCCTCGGGGCATCCGCGAACAACAAAAACGTATCCGCGTGGTCGCGTCCCAGGGGCCCAGACCGCGAGGCCGCGGATGCATACACCCACACACACCTATATATATATATATAGTTCTATACATACACACATACATACATGCATGCATGCATGCATCCATCCATCCATCCCTCCGTCCGTCCCTACATACATACATAACATACATACATCCATACATACATACATACATACATACATACATACATACATACATACATACATACATACATACATACATACATACATATACACATACACACATACATTTACACATCTGTTTATACAAAACTGCATTGGCGCTTCGCTCCATGCACCTTGGTCCTTGAGGCTTTGCTTATGTTGGTCGTTCGCGCCATCCTTAGTGGCCTTGAACATTTGGCCCCTTCCCTGCGTTTGTTCGCGGAAACCTTTGGAAGTTCGGGCGGTCCGTGGCCTTTTCCGGGCCTCTGGGGGCGCAGGGCGAAGGACAGGAGAAAGGGAATTTTTGGGGAGGCGGATGTGGGGGAGGGCGGGTGGTGGAGCGGCAGAAAAGAGAAGGAGTAGGAGGAGGAGGAGGAGGACGAGGAGAGGGAGAGGAGGAGGAGGAAGAGGAGGAGGAGGAGGAAGAGAACCCAGAGGATGAGGAGGAGGAGGAGGAAGAGGAGGGAACGAGATGGCGCCATCGAGGGTCGGCGAATATTTTCGGTGGCGCCGCACCGAGGAGCGCTGTCCAGAAGCCAGTTTCATGTGTACGTGCACGCTTGCAGAAAAGTCTGGCGAAGAATGACGACTGAAGGCATTCGTAGGCCTGCATATTGGCCCACTCGTTGCCCAGGTGCCCTGGTGCGCAATGCGAAAGGATTGCAAGCCACGCGAATGAATTCCAAGCGAACCGACGCAATGTCAAGCAATGCTGCAAAGTACAATGCCAAGCCGAGGATGTCATGTTGCAGCGGGTCGCAACGGGGCAAGCGAAAATAAGTAATTCTTGGGGAATGCACCAGATCCTGGGTTCGCAACAGATTTTCTGGAAATGTGATTGCGAACCCAGGATTCGGGTCAGTTTGGTGGAAAACGCTGTGTGGGCCTGCCTTGTTGGAGCCCTGGAGGGCTGGCTTGGGGCCCTCTCGAGACGTCCTAGGGCCATCTTGGGCCTCCCATGGCCTTTTTCTGGGGGCCTCCCATGGCCTTTTTGGGCTTCTCTTGGGGGGCCTTTTCGAGAGCCAGTTTGGTATCTTTTTGGCCTATTTGGGGTTTCCTTGGGCAGTCTTGGGGCCATCCAGGCCGTCTGCAGGCTCTATTGAGGGTCTCTTAGGCAGTCCTGGGGCCATACTGGAGGCCTTGTACGGCTGTTTTGGACGCTGCTAACGCCCGAATTGCGAATATGCTGAGAATTCGCGTAGTCTTTTTGCTGTCATGGGTCTCTCTTCGGTCTCTCTGATCACCGCTCTGTTCGCCTGGGGTCTGCTGGCAAGACCCGGCCGAACGCCTTGGGAGGTCCGGGACGAGCCGGGGGACCTTTGACAAGGGTGTCCAGGGGGCCCGGAACCCCCCGAGCCTGGCGGTCCCGCTTCGGGGGGGTGAGAGATTTTCCCACCCCCCCAGCTTGTAACACAGATGAAAAGGTAACATAGATACATATACATATATATATATATATATATATATATGTATTCTGTTCTTCGCCCACGAAGCCACCCCCACCCTGATTCCTTGACCCTGGATTTTCGGCCTACCAGCAGGTGCCTCAGGGAAGTCTAATCCTCCTGGTTGGCCCCAGTAGCCCCCAGAGGCTTCGGGCCACCTTAGGACCCAAAATCGACAAATTCCTTACAGCCGCTGTTTTAAAACGCGTGTGTCTAATGCAACCAGCGCTTACGAAACAATTACGGGCGCTTCCGAAAACAAGTTTTGCCATGTGCGGTTCTTGCCCCGGGGCGGTTGCCAACGGTCTCCGTTTGTGGGGTCGTTTTTTTTCTGAAGATTCAGGCAAGTTGTTTTTTAGATCCAGTCAAGTTCATGTGCACGGTATTCCCTCCAGGTCTGGGCCGAAACGGCGTGCAAGGGAGTCCCGACTTGCGGGAGGCCCACATTCCCTCTCGGGCCTCACCACGCCCCCCCTCTCTTCCCTCCGTGCAAGTAAACTTCTCACCGCTCACCAAACCACTCCGACCCAACCCGAAGACCCCAAGTGTGCCCTTCATTCCCACTGGGGTGGGGCGGGGCGTCGGGAACACTGCAAAAACACGTTTGGAATCCGCTCCCCTCACATCCCGAAATGCGGCTGTTGAGGCCAGGCTGGGGTGATTTGTCCGAATCTGAAGACGAACCGCCTGCAGGCAAGCCGCCCGGGGCCGACACCGCGGCGGACCGGCTGCTCGTCAAGCTCCACGCCTGGGACGTGCCTGGGCCGACCACGGCGTGGTGGACGCTGGCGGCGGGTTGGGGGCCCGCCGCGCAGAGGGGCTCGCGGGTCACCGTCCACGCGGTGGGCGCCCTGCGGGAGCCCCGCACGGTGTGGAGGGGAGGCCAAAGTCTCAGAGGAGGAAGAGGTACCCATGCCTCTACCCTTCGCCCGTTTTCCCCTGTTTGGGCCTCCTCGAAGGCCCTCGTCGCCACCGTTGCATTCGCTTCGGCATCCTGGTCAGAATGCACCGCAGGAGAGGTCCGGGGAGTAGCGTTATCGGTACCTGTTGGCTTCCCCAAGCTCGAGGCCTCCCAAGAAAGTGTTCTCTTACCCTCTGGGCCACAACGCGCGTTATGCCCCCTATACTTAGGTTCGTGCATTGACTACAGGTGGTCCAGCGGAAATCCTGCCCAAATCTTCAAAACACCTTCGGCCGGAAACTCAAACTCAAAAAAAATGTTAAAGAATCTTGAATGAGAAACTCAAAATCCAAGATTCCTCAGAGAATCTCAAACACAAAACCTGGGGAAAACTCACACAGAAGAAACTACAGGAAATCTTGAAGCCGAAACCTGGGAAAAACTCAAACCTTAAAAAAAGACTTAGAAACCAACTTGAAGCGGAAACCCGGAACAAAAATCAAACCCGGAAGGTTTTTTTAGAGTTTTTTTAGTTTTTTCCAGAGTTGTTTTCCAGAGTTTTTCCGTAGCTTTTTTCATTTTTTTTGAGTTTTCAGTCGTTTCGAGTTGTTCCAGAGTTTTCCATAGTTTTTTTACCTAACAGCGAAGACTGATAGGTTTCTAGTATAGTGTCAAAAGAGGTCACAGATCACTCCACAGGGGGGTCCGGGCAGGTGTTGGGAGTTGCCGGGCGGGCCTGTGCCGAACTCGTTTTTCACCAACAGTCACACACTTCGTGCTCTTCGAGTTCCCAGAACTCCATTCCCAGGCTCATTCTGAATTACCGGATGCAACAGTCACACACTTCGTGCTCTTCGAGATCCCAGAACGCCATTCCCGGGCCACATTCTGGAGGGCCGGATGCAACAGTCACACACTTCGTGCTCTTCGAGTTCCCAGAACTCCATTCCCGGGCCACATTTTGGAGCCCGGAGCCAACTGTAGGCCACTTCGTGCTCTTCGACTTCCCAGAACTCCATTCCCGGGCCACATTTTGGATGCCCGGAGCCAACTGTAGGCCACTTCGTGCTCTTCGAGTTCCCAGAACTCCATTCCCGGGCCACATTTTGAATGCCCGGAGCCAACTGTAGGCCACTTCGTGGTGTTCGAGTTCCCAGAACTCCATTCCTGGGCATGATTTTGAATGCCCGGAGCCAACTGTAGGCCATTTCGTGTTCTTCGAGTTCCCAGAACTCCATTCCCGGGCCACACTTTGAATGCTGAGGCAGGCTGATGCTGAGGCTGAGGCAGGCTGAGGCTGAGGCAGGCTGAGGCTGAGGCCGAGGCTGAAGGCAGACTGAGGCTGAGGCTGAAGCAGGCTGAGGCTGAGGCTGAGGCAGGCTGAGGCTGAGGCTGAGGCAGGCTGATGCTGAGGCAGGCTGAGGCTGAGGCTGAGGCTGATGCAGGCTGAGGCTGAGGCAGGCTGAGGCTGAGGCCGAGGCTGAAGGCAGACTGAGGCTGAGGCTGAAGCAGGCTGAGGCTGAGGCTGAGGCAGGCTGAGGCTGAGGCTGAGGCAGGCTGATGCTGAGGCAGGCTGAGGCTGAGGCTGAGGCTGATGCAGGCTGAGGCTGAGGCAGGCTGAGGCTGAGGCCGAGGCTGAAGGCAGACTGAGGCTGAGGCTGAAGCAGGCTGAGGCTGAGGCTGAGGCAGGCTGAGGCTGAGGCTGAGGCAGGCTGATGCTGAGGCAGGCTGAGGCTGAGGCTGAGGCTGATGCAGGCTGAGGCTGAGGCAGGCTGAGGCTGAGGCCGAGGCTGAAGGCAGACTGAGGCTGAGGCTGAAGCAGGCTGAGGCTGAGGCTGAGGCAGGCTGAGGCTGAGGCTGAGGCAGGCTGATGCTGAGGCAGGCTGAGGCTGAGGCTGAGGCTGAAGGCTGAGGCTGAGGCTGAGGCTGAAGGCAGGCTGAGGCTGAGGCTGAGGCAGGCTGAGGCTGAGGCTGAGGCAGGCTGATGCTGAGGCAGGCTGAGGCTGAGGCTGAGGCTGATGCAGGCTGAGGCTGAGGCAGGCTGAGGCTGAGGCCGAGGCTGAAGGCAGACTGAGGCTGAGGCTGAAGCAGGCTGAGGCTGAGGCTGAGGCAGGCTGAGGCTGAGGCTGAGGCTGAGGGCTGATGCTGAGGCAGGCTGAGGCTGAGGCTGAGGCTGATGCAGGCTGAGGCTGAGGCAGGCTGAGGCTGAGGCCGAGGCTGAAGGCAGACTGAGGCTGAGGCTGAAGCAGGCTGAGGCTGAGGCAGAGGCAGGCTGAGGCTGAGGCTGAGGCAGGCTGATGCTGAGGCAGGCTGAGGCTGAGGCTGAGGCTGATGCAGGGTGAGGCTGAGGCAGGCTGAGGCCGAGGCTGAAGGCAGACTGATGTTGAGGCTGAAGCAGGCTGAGGGCGAGGCTGAGGCAGGCTGAGGCTGATGCAGGCTGAGGGTGAGGCTGAGGCAGGCTGAGGCCGAGGCTGAAGGCAGACTGATGTTGAGGCTGAAGCAGGCTGAGGGCGAGGCTGAGGCAGGCTGAGGCTGAGGCAGGCTGAGGCTGAGGCTGAGGCAGGCTGAGGCTGAGGCTGTGACTGCGACTGCTGTTGCCACTGCGACTGCCATCGCGAATGCGACCACGACTGCGAGAACAGCAGAATTCTACAACAGGATTCTTATTTGAATCTTAAGGGGAATGCTTCCAGATATGCTCCTACACATCGCTGTTAGGTTGCTTTGCCGGGATAATTAGAGTTTTCAGTCGTTTAGAGTTTTTTCCAGAGTTTTTCAATAGTTTTTTAGAGTTGTTTTAGAGTTTGGTTTACAAAGTTGTTTCCGCAGTTTTTCCATAGTTTTTCCCAGGTTTCGGCTTAGAGGTTTTCTGGAGTTTTTGTTTGGTTTGAATTCTTTACGCTTCGCGTATCCCCACCAGCCCATCTCAAAACAGCAACTCTTGCGAAGCATGCCGACAGTAGTGTTTTTCAGGCGTGTTTCCGCCTGCCCCCGCATATCTCCCCTGTTCCTCCTTCCTCCCGCCTCCTTGTACATCCTCCTTGTGGTGGGAGCGGGAGAAGGACGAGGCGGAGGAGGAGGGAGAGAAAGCGCTCCTCGTGGTTTGAGTCGTTTGGGGTTTCTTGTCCTGGTGTGAGTCGTTCGGGCCCTTCTTCCTGGTGTGAATCGTTCGGGCTCTTCGTGATGTGAGTCGTTCGGGCTCTTCGTCCTGGTGTGAGTCGTTCGGGCTTCTCGTGGTGTGAGTTGTTCGGGCCCCTCGTCGTCGTGTGAGTCGTTCGGGCCCCTCCTCCTGGTGTGACTCGTTCGGGCTCCTCGTGGTGTGAGTCGTTCGGGGCCCTCGTCGTGGTGTGAGTCGTTTTGGGAGCCTCTTGGAGGCCTTTTGGGGCGTCTTCGGGGCCTCTTGGCGGCCCCAGGGGCTTCTAGGAGCGTCTTCCTAGGAGCGTCTTGGGTGCCTTGGGGGAGCCTCTTCGGGCCTCTTGGGAGCCTCTTCGAGGCCTTGGGTTTGGGGCGGGGGGGGGGAGGGGCTTCCAGGAGCGTCTTGGGTGCCTCGGGGGAGCCTCTTGGGGCCTCTTGGGCGCCTCTTGCCTCTTGGAGGCCTCTTGGGGCCTCTTGGGACTCTTTGGGAGGGGTCTGGGAGGAATCTTGGGGCCATCTGTCGGGCGATCGATCACAGATGGGGCGAGCACTTTTCTCCCCCCCCCCGTCGGGGCCAGAATCCTCCTGAGGGGTGTCGAATTTTTGCCCTCCCAGGAGTCGAACAAGACCCCTCCAACGACCCGCGAGACGCCCTCTCCAGGCCCAGGGGGAGGGGGGAGGGGGAGGGGTAAACCCCTCCCCGAAGGGGAAGAAGGGGGTTGAGAACAGAGCGGGCTCTCTAAACCACTCACGCCCAAAGGGCTGGTGGGATTTTTCCCAGGTTGGAGCTTCAGGTTTTTTCGTATGTTTTTGTGGGTTTGAGTTTTTCGCAGGTTCGGTGTTTGAGTTTTTTTCAGGATGTCGACCTCCCCAGGTTTTGGTTTCAAGATTTCCTGGTGTTTTTTTCTGGTTTGGGTTTTTTGGGCCCGAAGTGGTCGTGGACCGCCTGCAGTCGCAATTCACGAACCTAACCCTATACCCTCCCCCCCCTTTCCCCCCCTCCACATAACGTCACGCTCCCCCCCTCGGCGCGTCCCCGGCACTGCCACAGTGCGTCCGGCACCACAGCCTGGGGGGTCGCTACAGTATGCCCCCATTCCGTCCCCCTCTCCCCCCCGCAGAACGCCCGCTATGGCTGCGAGTAAACGCATTCGCTTCAGATGGATGGAGTCTGAGTAGTTTGGGTCGGAGGATCGCGCCGCATCGCCGATGCATCTGCGATGCGGCTCGACGTGGAGCCAGAGTTTCTCCACACGGATGGCGCCGAGGCATCGCCGACGTCGCCGATGCATCGCCGATGCATCGGCGATGCGGCGTCATCCTCCGACCCCTTTCGCTCGGAATACCACTTTCGCTTGGTACCTCGTCCTGGGATCACGTTGGGGCCCTCCCGAGCTTAGCTGCCTCGATGCGCTGGGTTTGAGACTCAACACGTGCCGTATTCAAAACGTCAGTGTTATCACGTTGCGTGTTGGCTCAACGTGTTGGCCCACTTTTGGCGAACGTATCGCGCCAAACGCGCGTTTTCGGTCCACGTGCGTGCTGAGCTCCGTGTCAACACGCTGCGGGTTGCGTGCCGCGCAGCAGGGCGGCTGAGCTCCCGAGGTGTTCTGGAACACGAGCGAGGGCGGCGGGAAGCCCTTCGCGTACACGGCGGGCGTGGGGGCCGTGATCGCGGGCTGGGACCGCGGGGCGCTGGGCCTGCGCTCGGGGGAGACGAGGCGCCTGCTCATACCCGCCGCCGAGGGCTACGGCCACGCGGGCTTTCCTGCATGGGGCATCCCGCCGAACGCGGCTCTCGTCTTCACGCTGGAGTGCGTGGATGTGGCTGATGCCCCCGCGGAAAAAAAACATCTACCTCCCCGTCCTCCTCCCTCCTCCCTCGACCCGAGCCGCCGCGTAAGGTCGCCACGTCGCCTGGCGCAAGACCCATTCCTCTTCGTCGCCCGGTTGGGGCTCCACCAGGTCTTCGGACCTTGTCCTCATCGTATCGGAGTTCCTCATCTCATTCCCGGCACCGCAGTATGACGCATATGATGGGCCTGTTTGCCACCACCACTACCATAGGTTGGAGGGGGGGATGAGGAGGAGGAGGAGGAGAAGCAGGAGGAGGAGGAGGAGGTGGAGGTGGAGGAGGAGGAGGAGGAGGAGGTGGAGGAGGAGGAGGCCCCCCCTTCCCCCTCCAACTTCTGGTGGCGGTGGCAGAAGCAGGCCCGTCAGCATATCCTCCCGGAATGGACTCCGACCCGGCAGGGACGCAGGGCCCTGGCGCAGGGTCTCACGGCGCGGTCCTCGGACTGACGTTGCTGGCTACATCGTGTCAAGAGCTTCATGAGGGCGTGAAGCAAGCTAAGGATGGGGAGGAGGAGGAGGAGGAGGAGGAGGAGGAGGAGGACACGCTTTTTGACAGGGAGGAGAAGTACAAATACGTATACAGATACAGGCCTGACAAGAAAAACAATCCGAAGCAGTGGAAGACTACGCTCAAGCAGATTGACCACGTGATGCTGGCACCTCACCTTTTTTCAGCGGCAACGTCTACCACAGCATTAGCTGACTGGGATAATGGGACAAACCATCCAGATCATATTCCGCTGATTGTGGGCATCTGCGCGGAGGGGACAGAGTGCGACAAGACGAACCACGCCAAACGATTGGACCTCAGAAAGCTACAGCAAGCGGATATTGTCAGAAAATGTCAGATGGAGCTGGACGCCACAATGCTACCGCACTGGAGTGTTGGAGTAAACGAGCACAATGACTTTGCGACGGAGCAGTACAGGATGCTTTCGGCAAAATATTTCGCTGAAGACAAGAAGACCGCGATTAAGCCATAGATATCAAGGAAGACAATGGGACTGGTCAGGCTAAGGAGATACGTGCAAAAGGCGGAGAGACGCTACACCACCAAACAGAATGGGCCATTTACGCTACTTGCACGACACCTACCTGACCAGATGGATGAACTCGCGCCAGAAGATGCAGAATGGAGGCCGGCCGCCAACATGTTGCAGCTCGCGCTGGACACACACACAGCGCGGGGGTTATAGAATTGGATAGGATGGCATGGAGGGCCGAGCAGTTTCTGAAGATAAGCATGATACACATACGAAGGGCGTTGAAGGAAGACAAAGCGAAACTACTGGGCGACACGGCAGCCGAGATTGCGGACCACCTACAACAGCATCAGCACGAACGAGAATGGAACAAAGTGGACATTGCACTAAAAATGAATGGGAAAAACAATACATTCGCTGGAGGAGGTCGGCTGCCAGTTCGTGAAAGTATTGACGGTGAGCCTGCGAAGACACAGGAGGAGGCGGACGAGGCAATGCTGCGGCACTTCGCTATGTTGGAGGACGCCGACATCATGACAAAGCAAGAAGTCGAGCAGATCTACAACAGAAGAAAACATGACTACGCGGCGATCTTCGTTCAGGATATTAGCACCGTGCCGACATACTACGAGATGCAGCGGAGTTTTACGATGGCAAAGCGACGACGTACAGGAGGACCTGATGGTATATTAGATGATGTCCTGAAAGCTACTGCGAAATCTTCGGCTATATGGTGGTACCCGGTATACCTCAAGACGGCACTTTACCTGCAGGAACCTCTGGCATTCAAGGAGGCCACATTGTGTGGGATACCGAAAACGAGCGAGTCGAAGATGCAGTGGCAATACTACCGCAACATCAGCCTCAACAGTGTAGTGGGCAAGCACTACCACAAGTGGTTACGGTCGGCACTGGGGCAAATTATCAGCCATATCATCCGAGACACACAGGTGGGTGGGCGGAAAGGAATGGGAGCACCAATGGCAGGCCACTTGATCAGGACGACGACGCTACTGATTGGACGAAAAGGGAAGTCGACACTCATGATATATGTGGATCTGAAAAATGCCTTTTACAAAGTAATCAGATCAATGGGAGTACCTATGGACCACTCGGCTGAAGACATCGAGGAGATATTTCAGCGCAGCACGATCCCAGAGCAGTTCAGGCCGCTACTTCAACAAGCACTGCAAGCGCCCCCAGTAATGGCGGGAGTGGACACGCCAGCACCGCTGGGGGCTATGTTATCGGAGTCGGCGAGAGTAACGCGGTGCCACCCGCCCACGACGGACTTCGCAGCAGTGGCAAAGAGAGGAGGGCGACCAGGAAACTCCACGGCGGACTTTTTCTTCAGCACCATTTACAAAAGACCCTTGGATGAGATCAGCGACGGCTTGAGGACGCTCGGTGCACTGCACGCGGCTGGGGAACAGGTCGAGCACACATACACCGTGGAAGCAGACAAAGCGGCAGAGATATCGGACGCCACCTACGTTGACGACGCGGCAATTCCAACCGTGGCGGAAGACAACAGGAGGATCGAGCAGCACATCAAGGCAGCATTTCCACCGGTGCACGTCACGATGCTGAAGTACGGCTTCGAGCCGAACTACGACCCAGGCAAGACGGCTGCCGCGCTGCACCTGGCGGGGCCGCATATTTCTGAGGCGAAGAAGCTTTTCAAAAAAGAGGAGGGGTCCAGGTCAATATCGAGGAGATTGGGCAAAACGTTACGGCGGCGGCAGCATGCAAACATCTTGGTGCACAGCAAATGGCAGAACACGTGGAGACCAGAGATGCAGAAGAGAGCCACAAGCCACAAGCAGGAGACGAGGAACCTGGTGACGATATGCAAAAACCCACGGCTGGCGGACAAAGACAAGCTAAAATGCACTAAGAGCTATGCCAACAGCAAGCTGCTCTGGCAGAGCGAGACCTGGCCGCCGATGCCGAAGGCAGCCCGCAAGATCGTGGAGACGGCGCACGGCAAGGGTATTCGACAGGCATTGGGACTTATAACGAAGCCGACGGAGGCCAGAACACTGGAGCCGACGACGGACAAGGAGCTGCGCGCCAAGGCAAAGATTGGGGACCTGCCAACGCTACTAAGATGCAGAAGACAACGGTTCCTGAAGGCGATAGTGGAAAGCGGGCCACCGATATTACGAGGGGCATTGGACGAGTTAGACACCATTAAGAGGACTGCGACATGGTCAGACATGATTGACGGCGATCTCCAATGGTTGTCGGATCTGACTGACAAAGACTTGGAGCCCACCAGAGGTAAAAAAAACAATGGATATATATATGATACGGTAGGATGGGGAAGAATATGATAGACGATGCAGACAAGCATGGCAAAGACAAGCGGACAGCAATATCGACGGTGCGATGAATGTTAAATTGAAGAGAACGGGGCAAACTACAGAAACAAACTGCAGCAATACTATGGAGGCACAAGGACCAGGACGCACAATATATTTGTTACGAATGCGGATTTACGACGGCGGACAAAGGAGCATGGCAGAGACACAGGAAGAAACATATTCCAATCGACACATCGCAATGGTATGCAAAAGGATCTTTATGTATTTCACGTGGAAAAGATTTCCAGACACGGCCGAGACTTATCATACATCTGCGACATCGTTGCCGAAAATGTTTCAAATGGCACAGGAAAAATGTGCAACCGAGGGGGCATGACGAGGCATGGAAACTATACCAACAAGACATAGACACCACGGCGAAGCTGAAGCAACAAATGGCACAGAGTAGAAAAAGCGCTTATCCATGCAGTACAAAAGAGTGGATGCAACCAAAGAGGGAGGACTTCACGCAGAGCGATGACGGCGAAGATTCAGCAGATCAACAAGAACAAAAGGACAGACATGACGATGGAGATGAACCAGTAACTGCAGGCGGATGCGCGGACTCAGAGCAGGGCAGCGAGACCATTGAGACCCCGAAGCTGCCAATGAGGGGGGAGTGGAGAGAGAGAGAGAGAGAGAGAGAGAGAGAGAGAGAGAGAGACAGAGAGGGCCATCCTGACGCCGAATCTCGACTCGGCCAAGACCGTGCTGTGTGCGACGACGGTGAAGCGCAAGAAAGGGGACTGCGCAGACATGATGGAGTTTGAGATGGCGAGGGTGGCGAACACCGAGTACGACTGCAGCGGCATCGACCTGGCCTTCGTGGAGCTGAAGTTAGATGCCCTGCAGCACTGGCGCATGCAGATTGATGAAGGACGAATTGCAGCAGTCATCGTGGAGACACCAGAATGCCACGATACCCAGGACCTTAGGAATAACAACATCTGGGGCAGCTGGGCGACCGCGAAGACGCAGCGCAGGAAGCAGCTCGAGGAGAACGACGCGCTGCGGGCTGGGGTGCTGCTGGCCGCCCACGCGGTGTCCAGATGATCCCCGCGGAGATGCAGATTGGGACGGCTTTTTTCCAGCATGCCCGAGGTGATAGAGCTTCGGAATCTGGTGCCAAGCCAGATGCTGGAGCTCAGGAACACACTGAGCGCGTTCAGGGCAAGGACGGCTTGCTCACTCTTGACAGCCAACCTGCCAGGAGTAGGCGAGGTCTGTCAGACCAGGCCCGAAGCAGGAGTAGCAATTTCTTCAGTACAGCTCTGGAGTGGAAAGTACAGGTGGTCCTAGGAGCCCCACTCACCTTCGGGCCAATGGGCCCATTTCTGGCCGCTGGACCCCTACCCTCACCTGAGCTGAAGGCTGCCTCCGTGAGGAGGGTGTAGTATTCCGCCACGGCGAGAGCTGCTCGAGGCGGGGTCGGCGTTGGACTGGTCACACCGCCGACCCCAGTGCCAAGGCACACCCCCTGCCTCGGGGGTGTCTCCTTTTCCCTCTCCTGTCCTCAATGTCGATTCCGACATCGATTCGAGTCCTTGCGATCCTCCTCTTCCGTCCGAGTGCCGAGCGAATGCCTGCTGCGGCTGCTGCTCGCCGCCGCCGCCGCTGGCCATACAGCTGGCCGTCGGCCCCT